AGAGAGAGAGAGAGAGAGAGAGAATATTCTGTGAATTTATTTAAATTCTTATATTCAATGAATTAATTCCTATGTATTTCTTCCAACCCTTAATTACATAGCGATTCCTAATCGGAGTGACGCCTAATGTAGTGCCGCGTAAAGAGAAAGACACGGTATATATAGAGGAGGACTCGTCGGTGACCGACACTACCGGCGCTCAGATACCCGTCGTGTCCATCAATCCGTCGGGCGATAAACACTTCTCATATGAGGAAAAGTGCTGAAAAAATAGCACATATTTTTTGACGATCACATGAAATACAATACATTTTTCTATTATGTGTTTTTTGTTTTGTGTCCAAAACAACGAAACAAATCAATTATTTATGTTATAATTCAGAGCGAAAAATATATATTACAACAAAAAGGCATATATTTATGGCATTAATGCTGTAATATTATTGGGGTTTATAATACATACATATTTCATATAATTTTATTATAATATGCTTTAAACACACAAATCATTTGTTCAATTTTAAACAATGGGTTGAATAGAAAGGAAAGTTTATTTAATATTATTATTATATAACATATTTTATACGTTTATATACTTATTGTAATCGTTTATGTCTTACATATAAACTATCAAATGCTATATCAGATCATAAATATTGAAGTGTATATCATATTCAGATCAAACATTACATTACATGATATGTAATCATAATATTCAACATAATTAACAGATTATTAACAGATTAACAGTTTATTTGTTAATCGCATTTACAGTACAACACAAATGGGAGATATATTTTGTGGCTTAAAAAAGTGAGACTAAAATATATATCGATATTATATTTTGAAAATTATATTTCATTGCAAAACAAATCGATCAAAAAATACAGACAATTATTTCTTAAATAATTTATAAATTGTATCAAAAATAGCGTATATTTTGTGTAAATAGTGAAACAAAATGACAAAAATTTACTCAATGAATATATCAATGAAATGCCAGAAAAAATTTATGAATTATATCTTAATTGTAAATATAAATCCGATTTAAGTGTTGACTCAAATTTTCAGGTAAAATATAATGAAATTTTATGATAAAATAAAGTTAATTTTCTAATCAAAAACAATGTGTTGTTACCATTACTATTGAAATGTTTCCGCTGGAAGTTTCCAATGAACACCTTCATCGGACATTTCTTCAACTCTGACTGTAAGGCAAAAGTGTTTGAATTTCAAACTAAAAATAAATGCTTTTTGAGGTTTAGTCATGTTTTGGGAATTTTGTTCACTTAAATCTTCCATAACTCTGACTGAAAAGCTAAACATTTTTAATTTTCATCTAAAAATGAATGCTTTTTGAGGTGAAGTCATGTTCTGGAAATGTTTTGAACCAAGAATTTTCCTCAACTCTGAATCTAAGTTAAAGAATCTTTTAAATCATGCATTATTTAAATATTCTCCTAATAACAAAGTAAGTATCACTTTATAAAAGTGTAAATATATTTTTTATTGTGTTCAACGATTTATTTAAAAATTTATTATTTACAGCAAAATAGAGACAATTATCAAATTATACAGTATTATAAAATTGTGATTTATCCACAATTTGCTATAATAATAAAAATGTATACAAATTACAAATAGTATTCATTTAATTAAAAAATTTTTGACTAAAATTTTGACTCCAAACTCGTCGCTATTTTTACAATCAGAATATATTTAATAAAAATAAATATATTTAAAAAACTTTCATTTATAAAAATAATAAATAACTATAAGTTAAACTCAATCACAAAACATTGTGATTAAACTTCAATTTATGTCGATTTAATGATTTTTCATTGAAAAAACTCTGACCGCAGCCCACGTGCGGACACGCGAACGGCCGGACGCCCTCATGTCGGTTGTGGTGAGCCGTCCACTGCTGTCGAGTGCCGAACCGTTGGCCACAATCGGGCCAATCGCACGCGTGGGGCAAGTCGTGCGCTGTCCTCTTATGGCCGCAAAGTGCGTGAGAGTTGGCGAACCGTTTGCCGCAGCCCTCGACCGGACACTCGAGCTCCTGACTGCCAGTATGTTTGGAAACATGTAATTGGAGTGAGTGTTTCCATTTGAACGCCGCCTCACACGCGGGCCAATCGCACCGATGCGGCCGTTCAGCGCTGTGTTGACTCTTCTGGTGTCTCTTTAGCGCCGATGCATTGACGCAATACTGGCCGCAATCGCGTTCCGGACACAGATATCTCTTGGACGGCATACGGGGCGGGAAGTGGCGCTCAGACGGTTCCGAGTGAATGCGTTTTGCGTGTTTCCTGCGCTCATAATTGGTGGCAAACCATTTGCCGCACCCGTCGGCCAAACACTTGAACTTTTTGAGGTTCAAATGGCGGCGATTTTGATGATATTTCAAAAAGCGCTGACAGTCTGTCCCGTAATGGCAGCCCTCGTACTCGCATTGGTATCGTTTGGGTTGGCCCGCAGTCTTCGGGTGGATCTTCTTGTGTGCGGTCAGCGCTATCTTATCGTGCGATTCGTAGGCACAGTCCGCGTAATCGCACCGATGCGGTCGCTCAGAGTTGTGCCGATTCGCCCTGTGATTGGCCAGTTGTGACGGTGCCTCACACTTGTAGCCGCAGCCCTCTTCCGGACACTCGTATTTTTTGTTGGGGACGCGCTTTGGGATTGGCTTCCGCTCCGCTGCCGACTTGTGCTGTTCCGAGTGTTTCTTGAGCGCCGATTGGGTGGTATACCGTTTGCCGCACCCGTCGGCCGAACACTTGTACTCTTTGAGGTTCAAATGGCAGCACTTCTCGTGTCTCTTCAAATTTTTCGCATAGTCTGTCCCGTAATGGCAGCCCTCGTAATCGCAATGGTATCTAAGCTTCAGATGGCGGCTCTTCTGGTGATAGACGAAATCGCGCTCAACGCTTGTCTCATAGTCGCAGCCCTCGTACTCGCATTGGTATCTCTTGGGTCCACCCGTAGTCTTCAGATGGATCTTCTGGTGTTGAGTGAAAGCCAACGCCATTTGCGATTCGTACGCACAGCCCGTGTGATCGCACCGGTAGGTCACCGGTCGCGGACCCACTCCATGCTTAGCCAACATATGCAGTCGCATAGCGTTTCGGGACAAAAAACTCATTGAACAGCCGATAGTCTCGCACTTATACACCGGACGTATGTTTGAGTGCCGTCTCTGGTGTTGACCAAACAGGAACCGTCTGTCCGTCTCATACGGACAGTCCTTATGTTCGCATCGAAATCGTTTGGTTTTGGGTTTGACCATCGGTTTGGCCATCGGTTTGGCCACCGGTTCGGCCACTGGATTAGGTTCCGGATGAGACTTCATATGAGTTTTGAGTGCCATTTCGTTGGCAAACTGATGGCCGCATTCACCGCATGGGACGGATGTCGAAAGTTTAGGTGTGGTGTGCGAGTCCTGGATGTCATCAGAGCACCGGCCGGTATGTGATGCCAAATGTGTCAGCCGATAATCCCTGAGTCGCCCCAACCGTTGGATAGGCTGTTGAACAGCGCTGGCAGTGCTAACAGTGGCCTCACTCGCCGGTTGAGCCACTGACCCGTGACTAAGCCTCTGGTGAACGGCCAGCAGACCCGCCAATCGGAACGTCTGACGGCAACCAATCCAACCGCACTTGTATTGCGAGTTATTCGCCGACTTTGGCGTTGCGTTGGCTTCGGCTGCGGATCCGTTCGCTCGAAGGCCACTAATTTTGAAGCGCTTTTCGGCAAATAGTTGTCCCAAAACGGGCGCCGTTTTTTCAACAGCCGACAATTCTTTTACACTTTCCACTTCATTCACAACAACCACTTCTTCGCGTATTATCCGCTCTTTCGTGGCGTCAAGACATTCCTCCTCTTGAGTACTAAATCTGTCCACAAATGAATGATTGATTGCAACGATTTCGGTGATGAGGGGCCACACAGTGGTAGTGTTGTCTGTGTTTGTGGTGGCGTCGTCTCCATCAGTGATAATTGGTTTGCAATCCGTGTCACCCGTTTCCAACTCAATCTCTTTCTTGTAATAAGTGTTGTCAACACATCCATCACTTCCAATGTCTGTCTTTATAATCTGCTCTTCATTCACAATGTCTTCCACAGGCAATGAATTGTCTTCAGTTGACTCCACCTCCAACTCCTTTTCTTCATTCACGACAACCGCTTCTTCACGTGTAGTCCACTCATTGGTGTCCGCAATATATACGTACTCTTGAATCTTGTTTTGGTCCACAATTGACTGATTTGTGGCAACTCTTGTAATAACTTTGTGTTTACATTTCATTTGATGTCTTCTCAACACAAAATTGCTAAAAAAATTCCGACCGCAGCCGTCGTGTATACAAGTGAACGGCCGGACAGCGCCCTCGTGTCGCTTGTGGTGAGCCGTCAACTCAGACAATGAGGCGAATCGTAGGCCACAATCGGGATAATCGCAGGCGAACGGCAGGTCGTGTTGTTTCCGCTTATGGTTATAAAGGCTCTTAGAATCGATGAACCGTTTGTCGCACCCGTCGACCGGACACTTCAAGTCCCGACCGGCCGTATGTCTGGCCACGTGTAATGTTAGCGAGTGTTTCAGTGTAAACGCCGCCTCACACGCGGGCCAATCGCACCGATGCGGCCGTTCAGTGCTGTGACTAATCCTCCGGTGTCTCCTCAGCCCCGACGGATGCGCGTAATGCTGACGGCAATCCTGTTCCGGACACCGGTATCTATTGGACCGCATATGGGGTGACAAATGGCGCTCTGACTGTTGCGAGTGTTGTTTCGCGTGTCTCCTGAGGTGCCATTTGGTGACAAACCGTTTGCCGCACCCGTCGGCCGAACACTTGTACTCTTTGAGGTCCAAATGGCGGCGCTTCACGTGAATCTTCAAATTGTACGCACGGTTTGCCCCGTAATGGCAGCCCTCGTACTCGCAATGGTATCGTTTGGGTGCGTTCGGGTCCTTAATCCTCTTCAAGTGGCACTTCTTGTGTGCGTTTAACGCTTTCATGTTCTTCGATGTGTGCGCACAGCCCGTGTGATCGCACCGATACGGCCGCTCATCGCTGTGCCGACACGCCCTGTGATCGGCCAGTTGTGACGGCGCCTCACACTTGTTTGCCCTCCGGTTTGGGCTCCGAATGAGACTTTAAGTGAGTCTTGAGCGCCATTTTGTTGGCAAAATGATGGCCGCATTCATCGCACGTGACGGACGCCGAGGGTATAGGTGTGGTGTGCGAGTCATGTGTGTCATCAGTGCACCGGTCGGTATCGGCGGTCGATTGCGTCGGCCGGTAGTCACTGAGTCGGGCCAACCGTTGGATAGGCTGTTGAACAGCTGTGGCAGTGCTGACAGTGGCCTCACTCGCCGGTTCAGTCACTAACCAATGGCTGAGCCGCAGGTGAACGGCCAGAAGAGATTGCAATCGGAAGGTCTGATCGCAACCCATCCAACCGCACATGTATTGCGAGTTATAAGCCGTCTTTGGTCCCGCTTTGGCCGCGTTTCTGACCGCCGGTCGGCCACTCATTTTGAGATCATTTTCGGCAATCAGTTGTCCCAAAACTGGCGCCGCCTTTACAACAGCCGACTCTTCTTCTCTCGCATTTTCCACTTCAGTCATGACAACCACTTCTTCGCGTATTGTCCGCTCATTCGTGTCCGCAATATATCTGTCCTCTTGAGTGAGAAATGTGTCCACAATTGAGGCTTTGATTTCGGTAACGAGTGGCCACATATTGGTAGTGACTGTGCGGTCGGCGATGTCTTCATCGGTGATAATTGGTTTGCAATCCGTGTCTTCCGTCTCCTCCTTAATCTCTTTCTCGTCATTAGTGTTGTCAACCCATCCATCACTTCCAGTGTCTGTATCTCTCATGTGCTCTTCACGGACACTGTCTTCGTCGGTGATTGCCATGTATTGACTTAGATTGAGTTGACTCGACATCCCATCGGTTCCCACCCTTCAAGACAACGACCGCTTTATTCATAACAATTCATATCATATTTCAATCAATACTTGTCTCACATTTCATACAAACTATTTTGTAAACAAAACTTTTACAACACATCCATAGATAACGTGTACTTTATATCAAATCAATTCATTAATAAACGTTTAATAAAATACTTTTAATTAATTAATCATAATTAGTAAATAACAATTAACAGTTTAATATTATTAGTTACTTGTTTATTATTGATACAACTATTATTTTAAAAATATTATCAATTTTTTTGTAACATTGATTTTATTTATAAGTAAAATAATTATTTTATCCATAATTTACTTAACATTAAGATTACAAAAATTATCTAAAAATTGCAAATATAATGATTTATTACAACAAAAACAATTAATTATAAAAAATAATTAATAACTAATTTATAAATTAAACACAAATCACAAAACTTTGTGATGAAACTTCAATTTATGTCGATTTAAACCTTTTTCGTTTAAAAAACTCTGACCGCAGCCCACGTGCGGACACGCGAACGGCCGGACGCCCGCGTGTCGGTTGGTGTGAGCCGTCAACTGAGACTTATAGGCAAACCGTTGGCCACAATCAGGCCATAAGCACCGGTTGGGCAACTCATGGATCTGTTTATGGTTACTAAGATTGCTATAATTAACAAACTGTTTGCCGCAGCCCTCGACCGGACACTCCAACACTTTACTGGCCGTATGTCTGGACACGTGTAAAGTTAGCGCGTGTTTCAGTTTGAACGCCGCCCCACACGCGGGCCAATCGCACCGATGCGGCCGTTCAGTGTTGTGTCGAGATTTTTGGTGTTTAATGAGCGCCGACGGGCTCACAGAATACTGGCCGCAATCCGGTTCCGGACACCGGTATCTCTTGACCCGTTTTGAGGTGAAACGGCGCTCAGACGGGTCGACCACATGCTGTTCCGAGTGTTTCTTGAGCTCATATTTGGTGACAAACCCTTTGTCGCACGTGTCGGCCGAGCACTTGTACTCCTTGAGGTTCAGGTGCCGGCGCTTCTGGTGATCATCAAAATCGCGCCGACAGTCTGTCCCGTAATCGCAGCCCTCGTACTCGCATTGGTGTCGTTTGGGTCCACCCGTAGTCTTCAGATGGATCTTCTGGTGTTGAGTCAATGCCATCTTGTATTGCGTTTTATAGTCACAGTCCTTGTGATCGCACCGATAGATCACTGGTGCCGGACGTGTTTGATGGACACCAACCATATGTCGGCGCAGATCGAAGTGAGACACAAACCTCTTGCCACAGCCGGCAGTTTGGCACTGAATGTCCCGTATGTTTTTGTGGCGGCTCTCGTGCTGACTGAAGTCGCGCCGACTGTCCGTCTCATACAAACAGTCTCCGTATTGGCAACGGAACCGTTTGGTCGCCGGTTTGGGCCCCGAATGAGACATCATATGTCGGCTCCCAAACCCACCACAACACACGCTCGCGACTTGCGCATAGAATTCTCATTGGCTTACCCAGGCCTCAGCAGGGTTGGCAACGTGTCCAACACGCGATTGTCAACATAACAATGACTACCCGGGCTCACACGGAGGCTCAGCTGACCCGTGACTGAGCCTCTGGTGAACGGCCAGCAGACCCGCCAATCGGAACGTCTGATGGCAACCAATCCAACCGCACGTGTACTGCGAGTTTGGTCTCGTTTTGGCCGCATTTTTGATCGCTTTTTGGCTCTGGATTTTCAGGTATTTTTCGGCAAATAGTTGTCCCAAACCGGTCGCCGCCGTCACGACTGCCAACTCTTCCTCTTGTGACTCGTTCTCCTTTTCCTTCACGACAACCACTTCTTCACGTATTGTCCACTCATTCGTGTCCGCAATATATCCGTCCTCTTGAGTGCCGTTTCGGTTCACTATTGGCTGATGAATGGCATCGGTTTCGGTGATCAGTGGCCACACATTGGTGTCAGTAGTGGTGGCGTTGGAAGCGATTGTGGGCGACGATAGTTGAGCAGCGCATCCATCGGTGATAATAGTGTTGTAGTCCTTCTCCAGTGAATCGATTAACAGCTGATTATCACTACTTTTAAGACAAACACATTTCAAACTTAAGACACATTTCCTGTATTAGACGTCTGTAAAACAGCATTTGAGATTAAGGGCATTTTCAGAGAATAAAAGGAGTTTGTTGAGCGGTAAGTAAAGAAACTAATGATAAAGTGTGTAATAAAGCACAGAAACTAATATTGTTGTTAACAATCATTAATTAAAACACAATTCAAATTACAATTCAATCAAAACTGTTCTCACATTTCATACAAACTGTTTGTAAACAAAACTTTTACAACACATCCATAGATAACGTGTGTTTTATATCAATTGAATTAAAATATAATATTTAACAGCAATGCTAGATTCCCATTGTGTCAGATTCGCATTGTCTCTTTATGATTGGATGATATTGTGGGTGTGTACCAATGCTGACTGTATGGGTTCAGTCAATGAGGGGGCAGAAAGAGGGGGCAGACAATGCGAATCTGACACAATGGGAATCTAACATTGCTGTAATTATAAATAGTAATTAACAATTAACACAATAATTAATTATTGCGTTAATACAATATATTTCTTATATAACTGTCATGCCTTGTATTCGTTAGTTTTAGTTTTAAACATAAGTTTTAGTTTAGGAAAGAAAGTAATAAATAGTTTAGAATAGAAATAAGGAATAGTTTTATAGTTAGTATAGAAATAGGGAAACAACACAATAATAAAAGGGTTCCCAAAATAGGGCCATAAAAGTAGGGCACATATTAAGGCAGTCCCACCTTTACTGCACATCGAGTCCGAGCCCCCCCCCCCTCTCTCTCTCTCTCTCTCATTATTGGTTTAAATATTTTATTATTCATTTTTATGATAACAAGAATTAATAAATATTATCGAGTTTTTCTTTAATTACGATTAAAATTATGATTTAATCCACAATTTATTAATAATTACAATAATTGTATACAAAATACAAATAATTATCGTATGGATTGATGTGAGCGCACAACTGATACTTATGGGGCAACACTTGGCCACACATACACTCGGGAACGGCATGTCTGGTGCGTCTGCTTATGATTGTATAAACAGGTATAGTCTGGGAAACTGTTTGCCGCACTCGTGGTCTTAACTAACCGTATGAGTGGCCGTGTGTTGGGACTCGTGTTCTGTTAGTCTGTGTTTGAGTTTGAACGTCGCCTTACACGCGGGCCAACCGCACCAATACACCGCACCCGGCCTTTCGCTGTGCCGACTCGTCCGGTGTTTGGCCAGATGTGACGGCGCCATACACTTGTAGCCACAGCCCTCTTCCGGGCACTCGTATCGGTTGACGTGAACGCGCTTTCGGATTGGCTTCCGCTCCGCTGCCGGCTTGTGCTGTTCTGAGTGCACATTCAGCTCAAGTTTGGTGACAAACCGTTTGCCGCAGCCGTCGGCCGGACACTGATGTTCCCGGATGTTGAGGTGCCGGCGCTGGTGGTCATTGAAATTGCGCCCAACGTCTGTCATGAAAGCGCAGCCCTGGTATCGGCATTGGTATCGCTTAGTTTGGTCCGCAGTCCCGACTTTTGGTAAATGGCTTTTCATATGCGATATAAACGAATTCTTGTATTGCGTTTCAAACTCGCAGTCGTAGTAATCGCACCGATAGGTCGGAAGTACGGGCGCTACCACTTGATGCACATCAAGCATATGCCGGCGCAACAGCTTTTGCTCAGCAAAACTCTGGCCACAGTCGGCCGCTTCGCACGGGAAGCGTCTGATATCAATGTGCCATATCTGGTGCTCTTCGTAACGGTGTCTTCGGTCCGTTTCGTACCGACAGTCCTCGCGATGGCATTTGTATCGTATGGCCACCGGTTTGGCCGTCGAATGACTCTCTCGATGACTGTCCA